CGCTCTTCAAATTCGTCACTGAGTTCCTTGAACATCGTCTTCCCTGATTCTAGCAGGTTAGAAACCTATAGACGATAGCAATGCAACATGCAAAAAAATGCATATTCTGATGAAAGAAGCATCATGAAAAACTGAAAACCAGATCAGCAGGCTACAAATGATGCAATCTGCTCATACCCGTGCTTTTAATAAAAGGATGACTTAATTCTCTGGTAGTCACAGCTTACCATCCGAGTAAATCGTTCAATCTTGTCATGAATTTGGGCGATATTAAGTTCCATCTCTTCAGAAGCAGGAAGTTTTGTCTCAGTTTCTTCATTCTCCGTGGTATCTTTGGTCGTTCCGTCTCTGGAATCTCCCTTCTTCTCTTTATCCTGTCCAATTTCAGGACAGCGTCACCAGCACTTACATGACACAATGAATACCAGAAATCCACTTCTACACACAATCATCATAATCTCTGGAAAATTACTATCTAAAAGAAACATACAGCTGGTTTCGCGCGTTTCCTGGAGCTTCCATTCCCTTCTTCTTCCATTTCAGCCAACAGCTACCAAACTGCAGAAGTTCCAAAACAAAATTCTTATGAACATCACCTCTATATATAAACTTGGTAGTCTTGAACTATATTGTCCGTTACTACTTACTACACACCGAAGGCCTAGCTAACCGAGGAAATACAGAAAAGTGAACTACGTAGTGACAATACCAAGTAGAATGATAGTTAATTTTTTGTTGCATCAACCTTCCGATGTAATTCAGGGTACCACTGAGAGTGTGAACAATTATTTTGTAAAATTTTAGGAAATCAAAACAAAAAACCTTTAACAACAAAAAAAATAAAAAATACCAAGTAGAATGAATAACGACGAATATGGAGACTACGGAATCAGATACAAATTCATAAAGGCAGATGAAATCGCTAACGTACTTGGAATTCAAACAGGAACGAACACGGAAACACACAGCAAATTCAGATTCTAACGTTATAAGCTACTCGAAATTGGAATTCCGCAACTAAATTTCTCGAAGATTTGAGAAAAAAAATATCCACCAGAATTCGACGATCCGCCAAGAAACGTACCTTGAGTCGATCGGGTGGAGAGATCAAGCGTGATTCAAAATGAATCTTGAGTGTGCAGTCTCGTCTACGTAATCTTCTTCTATGCAGAGAGAGAGAGAGAGAGAGAGAGAGAGGCGACACAGAGGTAAACGAGAGGAAAGGAAACGAGTTTCTCTCTTCCTGAGAGAGAGAAGATTGTTTTGGGTTCGTTTCGAAATTCTCTTCGATTTGAATTTTAAGTCGCGCGCACCCTTATATATATATTATATATGCGGTTGCGGAGAGACTAGAATGAAATATCAACGCATGTAAAAGAACAGAAAAGACTAGGTATATTTTTTTATTATTATTATTTATTGACGCCAGCGAGGAGCCATATGAGAAGAGAAACCTGCCGCGGCAAACAGAGGCTTATAGGATATATCTGCTACCATACATCTAAGGAGGGGAAGCTAGCTATGGACACAACAAGGAGCTAACAAGCAAACAAAACACAAGAAGGCTGTACATCATTTACACTAGCAGTAGCAACCAACCAAACTTCCTAGTCTCTCATCAAACACCCAACGCTTCATTTGTCTATCCTGAGGTTATGACAGAGGTGCCCGAGTTCTGGCCGAGCTTCCATCCAGTCCACGAACTTCATCTCTTTCGGCGTCGTGCTGTATAGGTACGATCTGAATGTTATCAGGTAAAAGTACCTCCTGCTCTCCCACCACAAAATTTTCCACTTCAGGAACGTAACGTAATACATTACCTCAAAATTTACAAAACAAAAAAAAATCAATGGAGTAGAGCAAACCTTAGGGCTTTTACGCCCATGTCCATGATGGATGCACGGTTTTCATCATCCATGTTCGGAAACCTCTTCAGTTCTTTGGTGTAGTAGAGAATGTCCTCCCTTAAATGCCCTGCACCCGCACACCTTTTGATTCCAAAAAACAAAAGGAACAAATTCAGCAAAATCCTATTTCGAGAGAAAGAGATGGTTATCTAAAACACAAAGATAGTTGAGAAACGAGCAAGGAACTATAGGGTGAGTACAGTTCAATGATTCCGTCTACATCTGCTTTGCTTTGAGGACCATGGGAAAGCACTCTTATGAGGCTCAGTATGTCACGGTAATCCCCCATCCTCAATGCTTCTTCTTCAGTCGCCCGGGACGGCAAATCTTCTTCCAGGTTGGAATTTGGATTCGGGGCAGGATCCCATGTCTCGGTTGTGAAGTTCTGACCAGGTTGAAGTCCAAGACAAGTGATGGCCATTGCGTATGCAACTCCTCCAAATCCAGTATGTGATATGTATAGGTAACTCCCTGCCGAGCTGGTGGAAACCGTTATCTTAGTTCTGCAAACTGCTAACTTAACTGGAACGTGAATGCTGACAGAATCATGCCACAATGTAATACTTACTCGTTTTTACAGTACTGAATGGCATCGACATCAGAAGCCAATGCTTCCCTTTCTCTGGTTAAGGGTATTCTCTGGTAAGATATGTTGTAGCCTTCAGCTTTTAGAGCAGCATATTCTTCAGCAGGTGTCTTCACATTATCTTGGAAAATATTCTCCCAGTATCCTATTATTCGAGACTCTTTTGACGCCGGGTTGTATTCTTCACGATGCAATAGCATCCTGCCACCAGTTTCTTTAACTTCTGACAGTATATCTTCTTTTAGCCGTGCTTCCATGCTCTCCACCTGCAATATGGATATGTGTCAACAGGTTTAGCATAGATGTGGAATTGAGCTGCATTTAGTATAGATGCATACCACTGGACCGGTTATTCCAACATGCTTGAGGGTATCAACAGGTTTATTCAGTTCTCTCAGAACAAATGGAGTCCCATTAATGTAGACAACTGCTTCTTCTCTCAAGTCTGTCACTACTATTCTCTTAGTGACATCCCCACCTTCTTCTTTCGGTTTGGCTCCTAAATATGCAAGCATTTTTTTAGCACCAGAACTTGTGGGAGTCGCCATGCTATACACAGGATACCTATCAACCTGGAAAAAAAGTGTGTAATAATTCAAACTAGGCAGAAACGGCATACATTTCACCAATTAAATTTTCCAGTTATCAGGCAGCTTCTCATTAAAACAAATCACATCTTCTTTCAAGTGTACCTTGCATAGGTTAGGTGCACCGTGAATTTGCATGTTACTGGAAGTTCTTTGGCCAGGAAAAAAATACATTTTGAGTATAGAGCCTTTGCCCAAGACAGACCCACTGCGATCGTTGACGATAGATTCCATGACTGCATCGCCATGTTGGGATTCATGCTGTGACCGCAATTCCTCCTGCATTCAAAATACGCTATGTTAATAATTGCACATGCTTCATGCTCAGACCTTTTGTCAGCCCTGAATAATGAGACGACGACTCACAGGAATGGTGAAAAATCTCCCAGGTCGTAACCTTATACTCCACTTCATTGCTTGCACCTCAGGCCTCTGATGCAACCAATTCTTAAACGTAACCTTGGAATCTCCTTGGCCACAGAATCCGTCAAAAGCCTCACTTCCAAGATAGGCAGAAAACGCAATCAAACGGAAGTATCGTTCCAAGTACTCAGCACCACGTTTCAGGGCCGCACTCCTCACTCTTGGCTCGACATGTTGTTGGTTGAAAACCTTCCTGTACTGCAGAACAGCTTCACGGATATTCTGCAAAGCAGAACATCTATCGATCACAGCATCTAATGCCTCACGGGATTCAGCCCCATTATCAAATAATCTAGTGATCTTCCATAACAAAAGGATGTCGTCCATTCCAAAAGCGTGGCCATGTTCCTCTTCAGTTCTTCGTCCAAAATTGCGAGATCTTCTTTCGGGGTTATTACCTCCACTTTCTTCACCACCACTAGAGGAATCTTCATCGACAATTTCGTGGGTCAGAACATCATAAAGAACTTTAATGGGCCTCCCATAATTGATGCGAAGCTTCACAAGGCAGGCAATGACAGTTCCAGTAGTCGTTCTTCCTCTACCCATCTGTGAATGTCAAAGTGAAAGAGAAAAAAACGTTATGTCAATCAGAAAAGCCCAGCATGGTGGTAAATGGGTATCACCAGATACATAAGAAGATTGGGTCCTCGAAGGAAACTCAACCTGGCAATTGAAGACAAAAGCGGTGTCTTTCGAAGCAGAAGCGATATTCGTTGCCAATGTGTCAAAGTCTGAACTTTTGGGAGCTTTACCATCGGTTATAGGCACACGTGCATACTTAATAGGAAAGCCATCAACCTCTAAGCATTTGTAAACCTCGAGAGGTGTTTGAACAGAATCAGCATTCACGTGTTCCCATGCATCAAAAATCTGTCCATCCTTTGTTTCATGAATGACCATTATTGCACCCCCATACCGCTTAGCTTCCCTCAGAATATCCTCCTTCAAACGAGCTTCCATTCTCTGAACTCTATCTCGATCAATGCCCTAACAGAGATATTATGTTAATATCCAAACCAATTCAGAGGAGTTGAAAGTACATTAAAAGATCATAATTTTAAAAAATGTTTAAAATTATTGCATCTAAAACCTGATGAATGCTTGATTGTATATGAAATATAATGATAAAACATGAATTTATTACCGTATATTCTAGCATGTTTTTATATGGCCTTTCAACCTCCCGTAGCACAAATGGCTTTCTATTGATATAAATGACAGGTTCTTCCCTCATATTGTGCCAAAAAACTGGCCGGCCACCTCTGGAACTTCCAACTCTTTCGATGACAGATTGAATACCATCAATGGTTGGATTTGCAACACCATAAACAGGAAATCCTGGAACCTCTCTGAAATTCGGTGCTCCTTCCACCCTCTCTGGTAGACTTGAAATTTGACAACCAGGACAGTGATCACTCTTCAGGACTGTTTGACTTCCAAGCACTGCTCCATTTCTAAGTGCAGCAACAACACCCATCTCATGGGGGCGCCCATCAGTAGATTCTGCTATCTTTGACAAGGAAGGCTTCGTAATTGCATATCCCAAAGCACCCATAGGATCTCTCCTTAGCAACCTGGATGAAGCATTTCCACTTATATAAGACACTTTCAGATAACATGCCACCCATCGCCTTAACTGATCACAAGTGTGACAATAATATCAGGTAAGTTCAATTTCATATAACATGCACTATAATGTGATTCGAAAATATTGGAAAATGATCTGATGCTTCTAATTTACTATTTTTGGCAGTTTATAGGATTGCAAATGACACCAACAAAAACATTAGAAACAAAATGCAGGTTTTGTTCGAACTGCTTACATTGAAACCAGATACATAACCAAAAATGCGAGCAAATGGATCTAGATTTCACCTAAAAAAAGCAAGTAATCTGTTTGTTGGCATGTACCTGCGGAGTATACTATAGAGTTCTGGCCTAGCTCGCATCCACTCAGCAAAGCTGTCATGGCCAAGCGAACCAGATTGGAGGAAAGCACCCTCCGAATGAAGATAGACAGCAAAGCATATAAGGAAGTAATATCTTTCCAAGTACTCGACAAAAAATGAGAGTGCTGCCTCTCTCTTCTTTTCATCGGGTTGACGCAAAATGCTACTGCGATAGGTAGCAATTGCCTCTCGTAAATTCTGTAAGTTAAATCATAAATAAACTTCAGATTTTTCACCCTTAACTCATAGAATAAAAACTATACAGTAGTTACAAAATAAAAATATTACCTGCATGGATGCACATTTGTCAATGACTTTGTCGACTTGCCTTTTGCCTTCAACACCTCCCTGTAGTCGTGAAACCAATTAGTAACTGGAACCAGCAGGATGACCAAATTGAACAAATAGATTCGAACCGTCATGTATTAAGTACCTCTAAGACCCGAATCAAACTTCTTATGACTGCATATTCCCCTCTACGGATCGCCTCCTCAGAACTTGGCAAACTAACAGTAATATTTTCGCCAGCGTTATAAATTCTCCCCAAGGAGTTGCTTCTTGGGAAACCTATATCTTTAGTCAACATGGCATACAGAACACAAAAAATGACACTGATTAATAACAACTTTTACCGACTCCACAGATTCAACATGACAGCTTCTGGTAGAAAGTCTAAAATGTCTCTGTAAGCAAAAGAAGTACCTGATGCTCCTGTACGCTTGAGATAGACCAGAGTGGCAACCACCATACCAGTTGTGGTGCGTCCACGTCCCATTTGACAATTAAAAATTATCTCTGTGTTAATGTCAGCCTCAGATATCTTCTGAATCTGAAGATATACAGACAAAGACATAAAAATCGAATAAACGTATAGTAATTCATAGGGCCATAGTCAATCCTGATATATTGAAGGGTAACCAGTTAATACCATGTGGACAGAGGCGCAAACAAGAGCATTCATGTTGTAAGCCTCTGAGAATCAGCATAATTTCCTCACATGTATATAACTTAAGTTACTGAAGAAATGCATCAACCAATTTCATAAAATTAAGACTTACCAATATATCGAAATCCGTTTCTTTTGGTGATTTTTCATCTGTTACGGGAACACGTTCATAGTCAACAAGGTAACCTTCTGCTTGCAATTCGTCATAAACCTAGGACCAAGAAAATAAGCAAAATAATGCGATGAAGTTGGAAATCTCATAAGATGGAGTGCACTTCGCACTGTGCATGTTTTGCTCATCGGTTCCAATTTTACATACCTCAAGTGAAGTCTTCAAAGAATCAGATGAGACTGGCTCCCATTGGTCCACCATCTGACCATCTGGCAGTTCATCAGTGACAAGGATCTTATTGCCATATCTGCTATGCAAATTTTCGAAAAGATTTAGCAGCAGCCAAAGAAAACAAGTGATACAAACAGAAGTTAGAGCATTTCAAGGTCCCAGAAGGACATGATATATAGCAAAAAAGACACACCTAGCCGCCTCCAGGAGAATGTCTTCTTTCAGCCGAGCTTCCATTTGTTCAACCCTGTCGCGGTTGATCCCCTGCATAGAAACATGGAAATAAGGTTATAAGTAGAAGGAATCTGGGAGACGACGTACCTACACCAGGGAACTTAAGGTAATAACATGTATAAAACGCAAATAATGCAAAAGACCTATATGCCATATCTAAGACTTCCTAGTAATTAAATGAAAACAGGAAAGAACATGTGAAGATATGCTAAAAGGACAAGTTTTTTCACCGTATACTCGAGGTTGGTAAAAGGTTTCTCCACGTCGCGTAAAACAAAAGGCCGCCCGTTTATGTATACTACCTGCCAGATGCGTATGATAGAGCGATTGAATAAGAAGAATAAACTGAACCTAAAACAAGAAATGTATCATCACAAACCTACACTTTCTTTGTTGTCTGAGTTACCAAGTTTAATAATATTTCAGCCCACTGGATCATATTCACAAGAGTCAAATACTTGCCTCCACTGGTTTAGTTAACAAATTCGTGACCATGGAAAACGTTGTGAAACATGGATTTATTGCCCTGTTCAGCTTTCTAATCTTTGCACAGGTAAAAAAAAAAAAAAACAAAACTTTCCCCAATGGTTGGAATGTCTGCCACACCAGTCAACTTGATCATTTGGACAGATTCAATATCGGTAATTGCTGGCAGCGGATGGATAGATTATTTACCGGTTCCTCCCTGAGACTAATCCAAAGAACTTGAACTTGGTTCCCATCTCTGTGAGCTCCAATGTGCCTAAGAACGTTCCTTATCCCAACTGCAGTTGGAATTGCAACCCCATGGACACGTAGTGAATCAGCCTGTAACAAAGACCACGAAACCAGCGCCATCAGATAGGGTATGAAACAAATAGAAACTCGTGGAAGCTAACATGGGATCTAATCTATACGGTATCTGCATTGTTGGACATAGACATTAACACTGAGAAACGAAAGAGATGATAAGCAAGATCTGGAAAATTCAGGGGATTCGGTGCATAATCTTGGAGTTCAAATAATACCAAGATGTTGCAAACGCCAAGTGACCCAAACACGAGTTGTGTGATTTAGTTCCGTTTACAAATTCTTTCTCTTGATACAAGAAGATTGTTTTCCCACGAAAACACGGGTGAACGGACACACAAACACGCAAGGTTTCAAGAATCATCCGTGCTGCAACCAGTTCGAATAGTCCTCCTATTCCAGCCAAATTCACAACTCCGAAACGAATTCGGCATTTCCAGTGACGTGCAAAAATAGCAACAAATTAAACGAGAGAGAGAGACCTGGCGGTAATTGGGAGCGCCTTCGATCTGAGGAGAGAGACGTTTGTTCTGGCAGCCCGGGAAATGATCGCTCTTGAGGATCGTCTTCTTCCCGAGTACCGATCCATCTCTCATCTTCATCACCTGCTCCGGTTCCTTTGCTATCGACATCTCTCATACAACACACGAACAGAGTTCCACACTTCACCGTAGGAGAATTGAAACTTTTTTTCCCACCCAAGAAACAACACCGGAAACTTCGACTCTTCTGCTGCTCTCTTTATCTGTTCCCAACTCCGAAGCGCGCCCGTCCGCCGGAAAAGACAAAACCCGCGCCAATGCGGAAGGGAGGAAAAACCTGATTCGCGGACACGAATCTCACTGGAGAAATTTTCTCGCGCGAGAAAAAATCGAGCAGGAAAAGAAAAGAAAACGGATAAGGTGGGTAGGAAATTGAACGAATCAAGTTTCGAGGGAATATAATCTCCCAAAGGATCGAAAGTTTTCAGGAGAGCGGAAAATACAAAAACAAGAGCTAACACGGAAAATGAAAAAAAAAAAGAATTACCTCATACTTGTATTATATATATATATATATAATAATCATAATAATTAAATAATATTACAAGCAAATTATCATGATAACACGATAATCAACTAGAAAAATAAAATAAGGTAATATATAATAAAATGACAATAAATGCAATAGAAAAGGATGAAGAACATTTCTATTGGGTGGTGGAATGGGTAGTTGCTTTTGGCACACAGGAACGTGGAAGGCGTGGGTTGCAATTATATTTTTTTTTATATAACTCTATAATATATATATATATATATATATATTTGAATTTATATATATATGTATATATATAAGCAGTATCTTTTTGAACATAATTTAGGAAGAAAACTATAGCGTTTGAATCAGGAATATTAGTGCTTTTGGTGATGTGTGACGTACGATTTTGTGTGTGTGGGAGTACAAAATTGAATGTGAGCTTTGGAATAGACTTTGCAGTAAAATTCGGATCTTTACATACGTGGGTTCATTCAATATATATATATATATAATATATATATATATCAAAAGGTGTTATATAATTAGTTTGACGACTGTTTTTACCATATAATACACGAGTGAATTAGTCCAAATATGAATTGATAATGTCATTACATGCACGAACATAATATTATGACTCATACGTCTGTGACATCATTGATGTACTGACCGAACCTACCGAACATGATTTTCTTTTTTCGAGTCTCACCAGATCTAGAAAATCGGTTTTGTTTAGACCTTCCACTTACTCGTTTTTCTGCCACTATAAGCGACAATACCACTACATCTACGTTTATTGGATGAGTTTTTTGGAGCAAATTTACCAAAAAATCGTGCTGGAGAAGAGACATTCAAGAGAGAGAAGAAGAAAAACTCGAAGAGAGATAATGCGATGTATGGCGGGAGACAATGATAAAGAGGAGAGAGAAAATAGGGATAAAAAATAGATCTATATTTTATTTATTTTAGTATATTATAATATTATATAAATAAAGGAAGGGTATTATAGGGATTCTATATTTATAAGGGTATATCTGATGTTGCCGTTTTTTTTTCACTGTGCGAGGGTATGGGCTGTAAGTGAAATCGACATTTAAGGGTATTTTTGCAATTGCCCCCTTTTATTTAGCATTAGATGTCAAATCATCATACACCATTTGCTGATGATGAGACTTTTAATATACCAGAATCATTATTCTATCTTTGATTTTTTTTACTCGTGATATAATGTGATATTATTTAAAATTTTAAATATTTTAGCACATTAAAAACTATATATTTAATAATTAAATTAAATACTAGTTTATCTCTATAATATATATATATATATATATATATTTGAATTTATATATATATGTATATATATAAGCAGTATCTTTTTGAACATAATTTAGGAAGAAAACTATAGCGTTTGAATCAGGAATATTAGTGCTTTTGGTGATGTGTGACGTACGATTTTGTGTGTGTGGGAGTACAAAATTGAATGTGAGCTTTGGAATAGACTTTGCAGTAAAATTCGGATCTTTACATACGTGGGTTCATTCAATATATATATATATATAATATATATATATATCAAAAGGTGTTATATAGATTATCGTCTTTATTTGTCATTCATGACTCATATGGCAACCAACAATTAATAAATGTCCTATATTTTTTATATTAAAAACTGAATACGAAAACAATTTAAATTGAAAAGGGAAGCAAAATGCAATGCATCAAAACCTTAGCGTACGAAATATTCATGCAGATTGGTTCGTAATCGTAACCATATTTCCCGAATTCCCATGACCTACTTACTTTTTTTCACGTTTTTTAATGGTTTTTTTTTGTCTTTTGGGGTTTGATATTAATTACCGGTTTACTATATATTTTCCACCAACTCGATTAATTTTTCTTAAAAAAAATACTTTTACATAGCTAAGCAAATGAATTCCAATACAAGAAGTGTTTAAATAATCAAATTATCATATCATAATATGTTATGCTCCACGCAAAAAAAAAAAATCATTGTTCAAATAATGCTGAATTAAATATCCATGATTTACGTTCACATTAAGAGTGTGATTATCGTAACCCATCGCTTTCACCAAATTTTCTTAAAATTTGGAATATAATAATTATGATTATATTCAGACACGCATTTGATATGATGCATGGAAGTCTTGTACTCCGAAAAATATTATAAAAATACGAAATCGTTATATGGTGATAAATATAAATAAATAGGTAAATAAATGATTTGGAAAGATATTTATTTACAAGGCGAGCGGTGGAGGTGAGAACAGTACGATGATGTCAGAAGATAAAACCGCATTGCATTAGTATAAACAAATCATGCATGCGCATATGACTGATTGATTGACATTACCCTTACAATGCTTTTCTTGTGCAAAAACAATATGCGGTTCGCAAGCTTCGTGGATGAGTGTGTCACTTTCTCTTTATATATATATATATTTTGTAGGGAA